TTGTTGCCACCCTCCTTCACCCCAATGGAAACATCTCTCGATTCCTTCTTGAGGCTGGTCTGGCCCGCTGCCAGGATCACCACTCCACGCTTTTGGGTCCGGACATGGCTCTTCTCCGCCAGGCAGAACTTACAGCAAAGGCCGACCGCAAGGGATTGTGGGTTAGCCACACCGGACCCACCACTACTGGTGCCGCGGCTGTAGACTATGTTGTCACCCGTGTTTTAAATGCGGATACCCTCTTTATCCGCAACAAGGCTGGACAGGAGAAGAAGATCAGTCTCGCCAGTATCCGTCAGCCAAAGCCCTCCGACCCTAAGCAGTCTCCCTTTGCTGCTGAGGCGAAGGAGTTCCTGCGCAAGCGGGTGATCGCCAAGCATGTCCTGGTCACCGTCAACGGCAAGAAGCCTGCAAACGAGGGCTACGAGGAGCGCGAGGTTGCTACTGTTGTTCACGGTAACACCAACGTTGGTTTGGCTCTTGTAGAGGCTGGTTACGCCTCTGTCATTCGCCACCGCATGGACGACGCTGACCGGTCTCCCGACTACGATGCGCTGCTCGCTGCTGAGGCTGATGCCCAGAAGGAGGGCCGTGGAATGTGGACTTCCAAGGCTCCCAAGGCGAAACAGGTGGTGGACTATTCAGAGAGCGTGCAAAAGGCCAAGCTGGAGCTTGGTATCTTGCAGCGCCAAAAGCGTGTCCCTGCTGTCGTCGACTTTGTGAAGTCTGGATCTCGCTTCACTGTTCTAGTTCCCCGTGATAACGCCAAATTGACTCTCGTCCTGTCCGGCATCCGTGCCCCTCGCTCTTCCCGCGGGCCCAGCGACGCCGGTGAGCCTTTCGGCCAGGAGGCCCACGACCTTGCCAACCGCCGCTGCATGCAGCGCGACGTTGAGATTGACGTCGAGGCCATTGACAAGGTTGGCGGATTCATCGGCAGCCTGTATATCAACAAGGAGAACTTCACCACCGTTCTGTTGGAGGAGGGTTTCGCCACCGTCCATGCATACTCGGCTGAGCAGTCTGGTCACGCCGCCGAGTACTTCGCTGCTGAGCAGCGGGCTAAGGACGCCCGCAAAGGTTTGTGGCACGACTGGGACCCCGCCAAGGAGGCCGCTGAGGCTGAGGAAGCCGAGGCCGCCAATGGCGCCGGAACTGGCGCTGAAAGCGATGCCGCCCCCGCACAGCGTCGCAAGGACTACCGCGACGTTATGGTTACCTACATCGACCCTACCTCCGCCAAGCTCAAGCTGCAACAGATCGGCACCGGTACCAACGCGCTCACCGAGCTGATGAGCGCTTTCCGCAAGTTCCACATCAACAAGGCCAACGACACCCCGCTGCCCGGCCCTCCCAAGGCTGGCGACTGGGTTGCCGCCCAATTTACCGAAGACGGCGCCTGGTATCGCGCCAAGGTGCGCCGAAACGACCGCGAGAAGGAGCAGGCCGAGGTAGTCTACATCGACTTTGGCAACTCCGAGATTCTGCCATGGGCATCACTTCGCCCTCTTACCCAACCCCAATTCTCCTCCCAGACCCTCCGCCCCCAGGCCATTGATGCAGTCCTCTCTCTTCTTCAGTTCCCCACCTCCGAGGATTACCTCGAGGACGCTGTCGGCTTCGTCGGCGACCAGACCTTCGACCGTCAGCTTGTCGCGAATGTTGACCACGTTGACCAGGACGGCACCCTGCACGTCACTCTCCTCGACCCCTCCGCTTCCAAGAACCTGGATAACAGCATCAACGCCGATATCATTCAAGAGGGTCTGGCCATGGTACCCCGCAAGCTGAAGGCGTGGGAGCGTGCCTCCGTCGATACCCTCTCCAACCTGCGCGCGCTCGAGGATGAGGCCAAGGCCGAGCGTCGCGGCATCTGGGAGTATGGTGATCTGACCGAGGACTGACTTCTTGTATCTATTTGAATTTTGAGCTGCACGAGGGTGACCTGTACAGATATTGGTTGGGATGGCCCTATGATTAGCATCTGGCTGTACCATATACACTGAGATATGGTACTTATTTTTAATTTAGGCCGGAATTTATTGCATTTTGTTTTTTTATATCGTCTGTTTCGTCTGTTACTAGGGCAGGCTACCTTGGTTGATCCGGCTAATTAGCTTTGTTGATCGATGGATCGGCGATGTACTTCGGCAGGTGTTGGGCAAAAAGATACTCAACGATGTTCAACGATGTTCAACATTCTCAAGAAGACCTAATTCCAACCTGTGATCCCACCTGTGAATCTGATAGAGAGCAAAGATGTATCACAAATAGAGTCAACCCCCAGAAAACACCGACGCTCGGGTCAAAACACCGTCACATTTATTTCACCGCCTCCTTCCCTCCGCCACCTCCGACGTCTGTTTTGGAAAGGGCGATCTCTCCTTCAAAAAAGTAAACAAACTTGAGAGATCAGAGCTCACCATGTTTTGGGGCAACAAAACTCCGCAGGACTCCGGAGAGGACCTGGCCCGCACCGATTCAGCTACGAAGAACGATCCCGCCGCTTCCGCCTCACAAGCTTCCGGCACCGCCTGGCTCGCCGGGCACTTGCACCACCTTACACCGGAGCAGGAGGAGAAGCTGGAAGAGTTCAAGAAAGTGTGCGCTGAGCGGAAATACTACACCCCTGCCGTGAAACAAGCAGATGGCGTCGAGGCGAAGCCGGCCAGCCAGGACGATGCGACTTTATTGTATGTGGATGTGGCGCGTCCACCTTAACCCCCAACCCAGCTAGAAATGGACAAAACCAAACCGAAAGATCGAGTGCTGATTTTGATTATTTACGCAGGCGATTCCTCCGAGCTCGCAAGTTCGACGTCGAGGGCGCGTGGGCCCAATTCAAGGACACCGAAGACTGGCGCAAAGACAACGCCATCGAGGAGCTGTACGCGAATATCAAGATTGACTCATATGAAGCCGCTCGGCGGATGGTGCGTGTTATAATACCCTGTGAAATGAATACCCCGACCTCGTGCTGACATCTACTGTCTCTGCAGTATCCCCAATGGACCGGCCGTCGCGATCGCCGCGGAATCCCCGTCTACGTCTTCCAGATCCGCCACCTGGATCACAAGGCTGTCGCCGCTTACAACTCCACCATGAATAGCGGTACACCCGAGACGCACAAATCATCCAAAGTCCCTGCGCGCTTGTTGAATCTCTTCGCGTTGTATGAGAACCTTCTGCGGTTTGTGATGCCGCTCTCCTCGGCGCTGCCACGTCCGAACCCGGAGACGCCTATCGTGACGTCGACCAATATCGTGGATGTCGGCGGTGTCGGGCTGAAGCAGTTCTGGAACTTGAAGGGTCATATGCAGGATGCTAGTGTTTTGGCCACGGCGCATTACCCCGAGACATTAGATCGGATCTTTGTATGTTGCGCCCCCGTTTAATCCGTCCGGGGAGTTGAAGATAAGATTGAAACTAACTCGCTGTCAGATCATCGGAGCACCCGCTTTCTTCCCAACCGTCTGGGGCTGGATCAAGCGCTGGTTCGACCCAGGAACCACCTCGAAGATCTTCATTCTCTCCGCCTCAGAGGTCACGCCCACTCTCAACTCCTTCATGGAGCCAACCAGCATCCCCAAGCAATTCGGTGGCGAGCTGGACTGGGCGTGGGGCGATATGCCCAACCTGGACGAGCCCACCAGCGAGCTGCTCCGCGGCATCGAGCAACCGCTCGCCGAGGGCCAAAAGCGGAGGGAAATCATTAAGGGCCCTGTTCTGTTCAACGGCGATCACCTCCAGGTTCTAGGCACTATGGATGGAACGCAGACGAAGCGGAGAGAAACCGTTCCCATCCCGAAACTCCAGGCTTCGGTTGAGTCAGAGGCTAACTCCGATAGCTCTGCAGAGAAGGCGGCGCCTAATGGCGCAGAGACTAAGGTAAACGACAGTGAGAAGACCATCGACAACGTGGCGGTCAAAATCGACCAATTATCCGTCGATGGGAATCATGTTTCCGTATAGAGCACAGAGCACATAGAAAGGCAGCGGGAATACCGTGTTGGGGTTTGTGTTGGACATACAATTAGCGATGTGACATAGCACAAGATAGCGCAGATCTCAATACCGAGGCATATTTTTTTCTTCTCTCTGTTTTGTTCTTGGATATATGTCTGTCTATATATATTATCATGAAGTGGGAACTGCATGTGCATATGCATCTATGGCATGATGTGGGTGGCATGTTGGGGTATGTTCTGGTTTCATCTTCCCAACATTTATATACTCTCTCCCCGTATGGAGTAGCTTGCTCTGGTTTGTTCTCCATCTGGGATTAACTCCTATTTACACTGTTCAAGAGCCTTAATTTCATGCTTGACATCTGATCATCTATAAAATATACTTGAATACAGGACGAATGTGCAACACCACATATATATATATCCTTTGAGTACGTCTAGTCTATATTGTAACCGCCTCTATGGAGATTTACTGAGAGAGTATAACTCATCCTTGAGCATCAGATAATGAATCATACAGAAATCTCCGAAACATATGCAAGTCGACCAATTAGAATCAGGGCTTTGGTCGAGCACATGACTCGAGTCTATGTAGATGCAGATGCAGGGCAACGTCTCCACATCACATCTATACGGCTGAATACGTCGAACATCTATGTAGAAACGGGTCGTGATTAACCAAGGAAACATAATCTACTTGTGAATGTCCTTGCATCATGACCATCCCCCAACACGAGGTAACAGGCCCAAGCGGTAGCTAGTTAACGCGGTAAACGGCCATGTTGTTGGGAAAGAGATCCAAGACGAGATATGATCGACGCCACGCTCCAACCCAGCCAAACGCCCGAGGCTCATTTTGCGGGGAGCGTGAAAGAGTGGGCATTCTTCTTCACATGCGCCGAGCGTCGCCAATGGCCGAACGACTGGGGGAGGGATCGACAATAAGCCCAAGCACATAAACCCACTAAGCCCCGTACCTGGGGTAGATCGAAGCGTGCACTCCGACACCCTTATACAGATCACGAATCAGCCATGAATCGTAACGCAAAAGACTCCATGAAGTCCACCTGGCGGCAGCAAGCCCGCTCAGAGTGGACACTCTTCCACTGGTTCTACGAAGTCCTCGGCATCCACCCCGAACACCTCGACAAGAACGTCCCCGTTCATCTAAAGGAAGACGCCGTGCCGTACATCCCAGACTGGTCCATGCACCGCTGGGTGCTCACGCACGCCGCCATCCCCCTCCTGATCCACCACGCGTACGTTGAGATCACTGGCCACAACCTCAGCGCGTGGGGTGCCTTCTTCCTCTACGGCCTCGCCTTCAAAGCCATCGCCATCCACGAAATCCACGTCCTGCGACGAGTAGGCCACCAGCACGGCTTCCTAGACGGCGACAAGCACGCGCGCGACGGTGTCCCAGACGTCGGCGTCGCCAAGGTCGTCTTCTCACTCATGTTAACATCAACCCTCCGCCCAATGTTCACCGTCTTCATCGCCTACCACGCCACACACCCGCCCTCCACTATCAGCTTCCTCTGGCTGCCCCTCGAAGCCGGGCTGTACGGTATCGTCCTCGACTTCTGGTTCTACTGGTACCACCGGCTGATGCATGACGTGGGCGCGTTGTGGAAATACCACCGCACGCACCACCTCACCAAGCATCCGAACCCGCTGCTGACGCTGTACGCGGACTCGGAGCAGGAGTTCTTTGATATCCTCGGCATCCCGCTTATGACGTATTTCAGCATGCGGGCTGTGGGCATACCGATGGGGTTCTATGAGTGGTGGGTTTGCCATCAGTATGTGGTGTTTGCGGAGTTGGCGGGGCATAGTGGGCTGCGGGTTCATGCTACGCCGCCGTCGACGTTGAGTTGGGCTTTGCGGTGGTTTGGGGTGGAGCTTGTTATTGAGGATCATGATTTGCATCATCGGAAGGGTTGGAGGAAGAGTCATAACTATGGGAAGCAGACGAGGCTTTGGGATCGGGTCTTTGGGACTTGTACTGATCGTGTTGAATCGGTTGAGGATAATGTTGATTATGTCAATTCGTCGCCTATGCCGTTGTATTGAGTGAGGTTGGCTTGTTGATGGTTTTGCTTCTGGTGTGGAAATCAGTACATATAAAGTCTGTGCAGTGTTGCAGAGGGTTGTTGACATGGTTGCTATTGTTTCTTTTGCTCACTAGTTATACTGTTTGATGTGACGTTGGATCCTTTGGATATCATGTCTATGGATGAAATGTTCCCCATGACCAATGACTTTCTGTATACCACACCGCATATTCTTCTGAGCAGGCTAGTTTGGCTCGAGTACGTGGCGAGCAAATCTGGTATTTAAGATGTTACTACATGCAGAGAATTGAAGCAATGTATTTATTACAGTTTAGAGCACATATGGCATCTGGTATATGAGCCTATCAGGCCTAAGCCCTCCACAGGGCATTAACTTGCTTCTTTCGAGTCTAGACAAAAATAATTAGCAAATGTACCGGGAGCAGTTAGACAAAAGACTTACCATCGGAGCCAAAACGGCGACACCCGCTCCGAGTGCCACCACAGTGAGAACGAGTTGCAGCTTGGAGAAGCTCTTGCCAAGGATATCAAATGCCTGGCTGGGCGTAGCTCGGGTACCGAAAATATCGCTTCCATAAGCGAAGATGAGACTGGTACTTTCCAACAGGGTAGGGCGAGAGAGCACAGCATTGATGCCGGCCACATCGCGCGTGTGCGAGAGGTACCATTTGCCATCGAAGTCGAGGTAGGGGGCGTAGCGGAATAGGCCTTCTTCGGCTTCGGCCGCGGTAGGGTCACGGTCGACAGGGCGGCGAGGGTCGAGGACGGGGCGAGGGATGCCGACGATGGAGTTGGAGGAGGGGAGAGTGCAAAGAAGCTGGCGGGTGGTGATGCCCTGGCGCGTTTGAGTGACGGCCATGTGGGAGATTGATTCGGGGATCATGAATGCCTGGGAGATGACGTAGGGCAACGGGAGGATGGCGGTGCTAGAGTAGTTTGTGGCAGAGTCAAGGAGACCACGGTCGTTGGGCAAGGGGGATTCGTAGAGCTCCGAGATGACCAGCTGGTAGCCCTTGGCGGAGGACTCGCTTCCATCAACGTCGCCCCAGAACGAGTAGGCGAACCAGTTCTCGGACATCGCGGATGCAATGGGTTGCGTAGAGTCCACGCCTGCTTGTGTGGATGCGTGGATGACATTGCCTGAGACTCCGTCTAACAGGTAGAAACTGGCAGTGTGGGTCTGCTCGTTCACTGCAGTCACCAGGGCGAGGTTGGGGTTGAGGTACTTGTAAAGGACCGAGCGGTTTCCAAGGACCCTGCCGATGGACGCCACAGGATCATGCGCAGGACGAGCGGTCGCTTCGACGACCTTCTGTCCGGAGGGAGGAACAAACTCCCACACAGGAGTCTTGTTATCCTTCGCAGCCCAGCCGAGGACTCGGCCATCAATGCTAGTGGTTACCAAGAATCCATCTTCGTTGGCAAATGCAGCGACTGGTGTACCATCTTCACGGATACCGACGGTGGCCAGCGAGCTTCCATCCTGCATCTCGAAGACAGCAATCGAGTGGAGTTTGCTGGTAGATGGTTCGATGCGGGAAACGATCTCCCCTGTCGACACATCCACAGTCACAGAGCCTCCGTCGTCGGAGTAGATAGTCACGACTCCTGGCGAAGTCAACATAGCCTTCACATTCCAGTCCGATGTCTCCACTGCCTGGATGCCCCAGGAAACGGCGCCGTGGTTTCCAGTATCCAAGGCGTACACACGGCCGCTCTTGGTGGCGACAATAACTGATTTGGCAAGTCCAAAGCTGTCCAGGTTGGACACTTCGTCGGTCAAGATACTGCTCAGAATGCGCTTCGGCAGATCCTTCAGCCAGTCGGGTAGATGTTCCAAGTCCCGGACATGACGCTTGACCCGGTGTAGGTACGCGCCGTACAAAGTCTCGTGACCCTCGACCTCCAATTCATGGGCTAGATCTTCTTGGGCGTCAGTTTCCGCCCATGTAGCTGCGACAGTATCAATGAGGCCCTCATGCCGAGTCCACTCGATCTGGCCATTTCGGATAAGTTGCCAATCTCCATACTTCCGGAAAAGTGCTGTCCTAACAGCCACGGACTTTCCTTTGGCGACAACCTCGGATACCGAGTGAAGGGCAATATCAGAAGAAGGCTTTTGTAGATCCCATCGTCCCAGAATCCCATGAGAGGCGGATGACACAACAACGGCCTCCAAGTCGGTGACTCGAGTGAAATAAACATTAGCGTCAATGACACTGGCTGCAACTGCTGACTGGCCGGAGAGATAGGGGAGCCGGTAAGCCTTGGTGACCTTAGCAGACACCAAGTCCACATGGTAAACCTCAGCCCAGGCTCCGGCCTCAGTTTCAAAGTGGACCAAGAAATGGGGCAGGGCATTAAGCTTGTGGGGAGCGTGGACCGTGATTTGTCGAATTCCGGAGCCGGAGGTATTGTCAATGGCGATAGAAGTGACCTCCTTTGTACCAATAACATTGACCTTCAGGGACTTTTGCGATTTGTCGGCCCAGACGATGATAGGCGAGGCGGAATTAGCGCCCACATAGAGGACGGACTCCGGGGTAGCCACATCAGCCTCAGAGTTCAGAATTTGATGACGAGTCTGTCGCCCAGTCAATGGATCCAAAACAGTGACCTTGATCTTGAACCCCTTCAACATAGCCGAGTGGAGAGAAATATAGAAGACCTCGGTGGAAGAAGACGAGACTTGGAACGGGATGTCGCCGCTAGAAGAACAATTGATTAGCTTGGGACAGGTTAAAAAAAAAGGAAAGACGAGACCAACCTTGCATCCTTGTGTTCCCAAACAGTCTTTCCAGTATTACCATCCAGCCGTTTCACAATGCCGTTGCCCTCGCTAGCAACTACAGCAATCGTATCTCTAACCCCGGAGGTCGCGGTGGCATCCTCAAGCTCCAACAGCTCGAGATCGCCAACCACACCCTCGGAGACCCGATGTTCCCATCCCAGCTTGCCATCCTGGGCACTCCAAGACGCGATGTAGTTATCCACCGCAGCTACAACGGCATCGTTGCCATCGAGTCCGCGCAAAAGACCCGCCCCATGTGCGGGAGAGTCTGCCGACCGCGATATGTTCTGGCGCCATACCAGTGCACCGTCACGGGGGTTCACGGCACCCACAAGCAGCTTGTCGGATATGGTATATATAAGGGAGGCATTTGAAGACGTGAATGGCTTGAGGAAGAAGGTCGAGTCGGGAGATGGAGTGCCGAGGAGAGCGTGGTGGAAGTCGATGTGGTCGACCTCGTCAGAGTAGATGGCCGCCGCGGGCGATAGGCACACAGCGAAAAAGAGCGCCGCCTGGAGCCGCATTTTGACGAGTAACTCTTATTGAAGCATTGAAGAGGGGAGGTGGGAGGTGATGTAGAATGGATGTTGTCAATACAAGCTTGGCGTCCGGGCGGTGATAACCCAGATCTTCTGTCTACAACCATGAACGTCCAACCTCGCTCCCTCATTGCCTAATGTCATGGCAATAGAATAGCCACGACCGATAAAAATACAACTAAAAAGACACCACAAGGCGGCATAAGCGACTAACTATTCTTCATCATCAAGATGGCCCCATGCCGCAGCGCGAATACCGTAAGTCAAGTATCCGATAGAATGCCCCAGGGATTTCGTTGTAGTTGAGTAATTGGTCTTCGAACAATTCTAAGCTTCGCAGACGTAAGAATAAAGAGAAAATATCTAGATTCCATACAACAAGCTAAAGACGTAGCCAAAAACATCTAGATCTTGGTCTATCAGACTCGAGTCCCTCACATCTAGCTCCACTACACCAGCCAATTCATACTAAAGCCAGAGCTCTCCAGCTAGGAATGCGGTTTGGCAGTTCCTATTTCCAGACCTATGAGTTTGCAATGCTGACATTACTATTAGAATGACATTCACAAGAAGCTGAGAAGACTGGACTTACATCGAAATCCGCCGAAAGGGCTAGTATCTCATCGTCCGTTGAAATTTGCATGTACTCGAACTCGCACTCGAGCTCCTCGGAGTTATTAGCGGGCCTGCCAAACCAATTGTTCATCGGATTGAAAAGCGGACGTATTGCGCGAAAAGCTCCGATTCCAATTATCACCGCAAATCCCCTAAGCGGCCTTCCTTCAAAATCAATCATCGTTTGATTTCCTGGAGCGCGATAGCCAAGAATAGTGTTCGGCATATCACTTGGATAAATAAGCTCTAAGCCGGCGACAAAAGTGTCTCCGTCTGAGCGTGGATCTGAGAGAACAGAGATGGCGAGTCCCACAATAGCCCTAGAGAACGGAACTAATTGAGTCGTCAATGGTTGATGCGTCGTTAAGCATCTTGAACACAATTCGTAACTGGGCTCATTTGGGTACCCATACCTCAGGCAAGGTATCTTCCTACCAGCTTTTTGCCACCGTAGAGATTCTGTGTCAACTCGAGCGTGTAATAGAGGATTCTGCTCTCTGGTCATGGTATAAACATCTCTCAGAGATCGGTTATGCCGCCATTGCTGTCTTCTAGAACGGAGATCACGGTGCAATTTAAAAAGGTTGTGAGTACAACGGTAAATTAGTCGCCAGTCTTTTGCCTTCGCACCCTCGATACATTCGGTGAGAAATCCAAGATAGCCTCGATCGCCATGTATGAAAAATCTTGTTTTCCAGAATGTTTGATCTTCGAATATATCTGCCATTGCCCTTGAACAGAGTCGTAGGTTAAGGAAGTCCACAGTTGATAGAAAAGTTGCAATCTCCAATCTTATTTCAAGTGGAATGCATTCGAAGTAGTGTGTATTAATAAAATCACGCAGAATGTATGATCCATTCGTGGCTGGCAAGGCCCGAGCAGCTGCACGGAAACCCGCGCCGCGAGCGCATTGCTGAAAGCTCGGCGGCTTGAGTTCAAACACTACGATATGCCAATATTAGCGGGATTCGATTTCTTCTATAGGAATACAATCAAATGAGATGGACTCACCCAGGTGGTCTATATCATCGTCGAGGCATCGCGGGGGTTTTTCGCTTAGGGTTTCAAGCAACTTCTCCAGGTTTAATTCACCACTCTTGAACTGGTTCGAAAGAAGCGCCCAACAATATCTATGAATCAAAAATCCATTTGGTCGATTTGAGGGGGGGTTTTCTCTAATAATTTGCTAACCTCTTCCCAGCATGTATCATTACTAGAGATCTCAGTTAGCTGACCCCCGGCTGCAGTCAAATGAACTAAGCACTAATTAGCAAGTACTTCCAATAGCAGATTCACAGGATCAAGACGCACGAAAAACGTCACGGTCAGACAAGGATGTTCCGCATGATACACAAGAGCGAGAGAATATCGCATCCAGAGCCAGGTCCATTTCTGACTTCTTGATGAGTTTTGAGTTGTTTTTCGTAATTTGGAAGTAGCAACGGTTGTTTGTCGCTTAGCCTAGAGTCGCTATCATGATTGCATACTCCTATTGCGAGAGGGTTCCACAGCTATATTAGAAATTAATCGTAGTATGAGAGTAGAAGGGCTATCCTTGACGTCACCGGATCCCAGATATATCTGCACTAAGAGTAGGCTTCTACATCAATCAATTATTGGGAATATAAGAAAGTCCACAGTTTGTTGAACTTGCTCTCTTCCATAAGAGTAATAAATAAATAAATAAATAAATTGTATATTGTGCCTTGGTATGTACTAGTTTCCGAACGACGCATCCCAGCAAAATCGCTCATTTATACTGGTTGCCTTGTCTGACAGCGAAAACCGACTTTAATTACGGTCGTTGTTGAGGAATCCTAAATTGACACGCAGGTTAGCATATAATTCCCAAAGGCTTCAAGCAAAAATAAGGGTCACGAACCTTCAGCCTTGTTCAGCAGCTGGTTACCAAAGCTGCCGCTGGAAGAGTCATTGTTGCCAGAGCTGGAGTTGCCGTAGCTGGAGTTGTTGTTGCTGCCGTAGCTGTCCTGGTTGCCACCGGAGCTGGACTTGTTGCCGTAGCTGGAGGAGTCGTTGTCACCATAGCTGGAAGAGTCATTGTTGCTACCGTAGCTGTCCTTCTTGGAGGACTGGTTGCCGCCGTAGCTGGAGGAGTCATTGTTGCTGCCGTAGCTGTCCTGGTTGCCACCGGAGCTGGACTTGTTACCGCCGTAGCTGGAAGAGTCGTTGTTGCTACCGTAGCTGTCCTGGTTGCCGCCGTAGCTGGAGGAATCATTGTTGCTGCCGTAGGTATCCTTCTTGGACCCAGAGCTGGACTTGTTGCCGTAGCTGGAGGAGTCGTTGTCACCATAGCTGGAAGAGTCATTGTTGCTGCTGCCGTAGCTATCCTGGTTGCTACCAGAGCTAGACTTGTTGCCGTAGCTGGAGGAGTCGTTGTCACCATAGCTGGAGGAGTCATTGTTGCTGCTGCCGTAGCTATCCTGGTTGCGACCAGAGCTGGACTGGTTGCCACCGTAGCTGGAGGAGTCATTGTTGTTGCTACCGTAGCTGTCCTGGTCACGACCAGAGCCGGACTGGTTACCGCCGTAGCTGGAGGAGTTGTTGTCACCGTAGCCGGAGCTCTGGTTGCCACTGCCGTAGCTGTCGGAGTCGTTGCGGTAAGACATTTTGGTGGGTTGTTTAGGGGGGATTGGTTTGTGATTGGAGTGAAAGGAAGAAGATAGAGTGATGAGTTAAAGGGGTATGATGCTTATCCCACCAGCGGCGAGCGCTTTATTTATCTCCCACCAGGAAGCCGGCCAGAATCGAATAGAAGAGAATCGCCCCTCGTCCGTAAACCCCTCAATGACAACATGTGGACAAGCGAGGCGAGCAGGGGCCAATGAACATGGCACGGAGAAGCTAGCATATCCAAAGCTCACTAGTTTCGTGCTTATATGTTAGTGATTGCTCGAACCTTGGGAGCCACTTTTTCAGCTTAAGAGCCACATTTCAGCTTCTGTGGCCTAATCGGGACATGATCCCCTAGTTGACCCATAATTGAGCTCGATGTTGTGATATCATCCAATCTGCAAACAGAGAATCACGCCACGGAGAAAGCCATGCGGGACTCTCATTTGCCGGTCGAATGATGTAGCTCTTTTCCGGAGCCGGACTTAGCCGGAGAGTTCATTTCCCCTCATTACTTGGCTCGGTCATTGGATACTGTTATGCAGGTAAGCTCTAGACTCTTCGACCTGATTTGATGATAGGTGGGATGTGTATGTTCTTAAACACGTACGGGAAGTACAGAGTAGCCCTGGGAACCCTGGAAACCCTGGAGGGGCCCTCATTTCTTTTTTTGGGACAGGCAATATGATAATGTAGTGAGATAAGCCAATCATAATTGAAGATCTGGCATCTTCTGGGCCCACCTAGGCAAGATCTACCTCGATCCGCGCTATTGATTTCCATGGTAACGTGATGCATTTATCTCCGAGGTCCGCCCGGAATCTTGGTTTGGCTTTGCCAGTCCCACGGTTCAGATAATGAACATCCCTCGGTGTGGCTGTGCATGTGCAACCTACCCCTCCTCGACGCCACCAAGGTGGTCAGCCTCGATTTGACTGTTACGTACTACTCCGTACAACATACCGAGGACAAGAATTGCCCCCATTCACGGGTGGTTTTTTGAGGTGGTTTTTGGGGTAGTTTTTGTGGTGATTTTTGTAATTGGACTGACTACACGCAACACGTGTCAAAAAGGTATAGGTATACGGAGTAGACAAGTCTGATTTTATCTATCCTATCTGCGTAGTCTCTGTCTGGGTATTCATTCACTCATTCCTCCCAAGTATCATTATTGCTCTCATCCAATTATTCGTTTAGTTGGAGATCTTGTCGCTGACTTGCTTGCTGTATTACACAATCGAATGTTAGCAGATATCCAGAGCAAGGAATTTGGAGTGTCACATACCCAGTGGCCTTCTCGTAGGCCGAGCGGGCACCATCGGTTATCTTCTCCTGCGTGTTGCGGTCGACATTGTAGCCAGACTTCTTGACACCTGCACCGAAGGCTGAGGCAAAGCATTGTCAGCGCAAATTCACTTTACACAAAGAACGATAAACCACTCACCCTTGTCAACGTAGTCGTCGCTCTGCTGGTTGTTGTTGTTGCTGCTGTTGTTGCTGCTAGACTCGTGGTTGCCGCCGGAGCTGGAAACAGCCTTCTTGATGAAATCCATGATGATGATATGTGTAGATTATTTGGATATTTAACAGAGATAGATATGAGTAAAGAAATAGACAAGAAGAAAGAGAGTTGTATTTGTATCTGGGAACACCGTCACAGTAGGGCTGCCCCTCTTCTGCCAAGTTTACTTGAGTGGCGATTCGTCGTCATTACTCCAGTAGCCGTCTTACCGCCCCCATGCCTTCCAGGTATGCAGTCTGGGTCAGGGTGGGATGGTAAGACGGCTAATTGCGCATTGCGGTTCGTTCGGTGGGCTAGGCTCGAGCATAAGGAACCCTAATAGGCCATGATCTTCAAGCAGTAAAAGTAATAATTGAGACTTATTTTCAAATACAAGTTGCTATATACATCTTTGAAAGAAAGGTAACTCCAGAAAAATGCCATCCAAATCAAACAAATCTTAAACACCGAAACAGGCCTTATTGGCAGACCGGATGGCTTCCTTCTCACCCTCGCTCATTGCGTCGGTGATCTCCCAAGGGGTGTTGCCTAAGCCCATAGCACGCTGACCCTCTGGGCTCAGCGCCGACCAATCCATAGCACCCTTGAATCCCGACTCACCGGGTCCACCAGCACCAGGGAAATCCCACGGAGGCGAATAGTTCAGCGCAGCCTGGCGCTGCTTAAGAAGGTATTTCACATTCATGTCGCACAGCGGGGTAGCGGGAATGTACATAACACTAGAGTCCTGGGTACCACGGTGCTCCTTGTCCACGGAATGAAGAGAATCGCAGTGCCATGCAACAAAATCACCAGGCGCAACCTCCGGTACTGAAACCATAGTCGACTCGAGATCGAGATGCGGGTGTGTGACCGGGTTGTACTCCTGGCAAGCACCAGGCACGGAGCCCGGGAATGTAGCATCCAAAGCCGGTTTTGAGATCTCGACGTCGAAGAACGGACGCAGGATGGTGTACGCCGTGCTGTGGTTGATCATGGGGCAGACGTGCAACGAGCCCTCGCCAGGCTTGGTGTCCGACATAGATAGCCAGGCCTGGAAGAACCGCAGCATGGAGCATGCACCGGCGCCATTGTATAGGTCCATGTTGGCGCTCAGACGGTGTCGCGCATCCCACGCGTCGTATTGCTCCCAGTTTCCTTCTAGGATCTTGGTGTAGACTCGAGAGTACTCGGGGTCTTCCCAGCGCTCGAGGGAACCGCCGTCAATGTGCGGGCCGAGGGCGAATTTTGCGTCGCCTGGATCGCGGATGCGTAGACGATCTGCGTAGGTGAGCGGATTGGTGGTTGAGATCTTGCTGTTAGGGTCGGATGAATGCCACAGCTGCTGCATGAAGCGCTGGGTGTTGAGCATGTTGCTGTGACCTCGGGCTTCGGCCTGGGATGGAGTCCAGTACAGCTCGTAGACAGCTGGGGAGTCAGCCGGGAAGGCCTTGACTCGCTCTTTGTTGGCGGCCACATAGTCGCGAATCCGCTGCTTATACTCTAGGGCTTGGTCCCGAGGGACTACATTGCGGACGACCGCACTGCCTCGGTGGCGGATCTCTTTTAATGCAGCTTCAGACACATTTCCAGAGATCACATCAGAGTACTCAATTGAGGGAATAATCTGTATTTGAAAGTCAGTCTTTTGCTCGGTATTGCGGGTTACATGTGCACATACGTCGCTGCCCTTTGCCTTGATCTTTTGCACTTCTTCATCCAAGCTAGGGAGCAATCGCTCCCAACTCTTTGTAATTGCGTCTTTATTCTTCTCGAATATTTGCGCTTTCAGCTCCTGGAACCGTGCAGGGAGAGGTTCTGGCTTGTAGTCGGGCCTTAAGCTGGGGAAAACCGATGAGATATCACCGGCGGCCTTGGTTGTCTGGGCCGAGGTAGAGGCCGCTCGGACAGCGGATCTTGAGATAAACTTTGATAGCGACATGGCTGGAGTGAATTCAAGGTGTGTATTCCAACTTTGCGGGGATCTACCCCAATGCTTTATATGTTTTTCGTGGGGAACACAACATACATTGGTCGAGGCGGAATTATTCCATATACAGTAATCGAGCCGCCGTCGGAAAGAGATGTGCCGCAAAATTACTACGTTGGGATATCTACCCGCATTCCAGTCTCCCTACCTGCTAGCGCTTACCATAATACAGCTGCTGTTCATGACATCAGCCTACAAATTATCATTTATGAGGCTAAAGATGTCAATAATGGAGATAAGTACTTTCGAAGCTTTGGCGGTTCGGAAAGATCATTCGGGAATATGCCAAGCCGGGTTTCGGGATAGAAGATCTGCATTTAGCCGAAGTACTATACAATATAGGAACACTGCCTGCCATACCACGACACCAACTGTGGACTTGAATTGAATTGAACCTGCGTTGTCTTTCTCGAAGGATATGATCAAGTGAATGTTATATGTGCTGCAGAGCAGTTCTATGAATGTCTATATATCTCGTAGTGACCCCTCGGGCAATTCTCCGAGGGCAATCCACCTGCCCAGGTGGATTCCACGGTTTATATAACCCAAGAACCAAATGCAGGCATGCCGAGTTCTCTATATTGCAATGTCTCACTAGCTGATCCAAACTACAGCATATATTCGCATCGAACAATATACATAAGTGCCTCCATAAATAGAGCATAATATCAAGAAGAGGGGAACTGCTGTCAGATGGCCTGATACGTACCCAAGGAGAACGGAGATTTAGATTAGATTGGGCCTCATCCAGCCGGCCTCGTACGATGTACATAGGTACAAGGATCTCGGCCACGTTGGCCTCAATCCTTCCTCTCGTCCGACCGGTTAGATTCTATTATCCTACCCCGCGAGGGGCAGAAAATGGGCACGGAATATGTATGCCGCGCAAGGTCCACGATGTCCACTCTATGTATAAAAGAGGGCTGAATCCCCTGCTAGAAACCGTACAACTCAACCCATCAACCGTTAATACTTAAACATGTCTATCTCTGTGCAAGGAAGGACCGCCATCGTAACCGGAGCTGGCTCCGGTATGTCTCCTGCATACTGCAATATCAAACGGAAGCTTACATGTAGTCAGGTATCAACCTCTGCTTCGCCAGATTGTTAGTTGAAAATGGCTGCAATGTCCTAATTGCAGACCTAGCCTTGCGTCCCGAAGCGCAAGTGTTCGTCGATGAGCACAAGACCGATTCCCCGCGAGTGGTCTTCCAAGAGACCAATGTGGTTGACTGGGCTCAGCTCGAGCGGATGTTCGAGGTTGCCGAGAAGGAGTTCGGCGAGATTGATATTGTGTGCCCGGGCGCGGGAGTCTACGAGCCGGTAAGACAAAAAACAACCCCAACAAATCTACAAGTCTAACTAGAACAATAGCTCTGGAGCAACTTCTGGCGCCCACCTGGCGCGGGCGAAAGCAAGGACTCGACCACTGGCGGCCGATACGCTATAATCGATATCAACCTCACCCACCCGATCCGCACGACCCAGCTGGCAATTGCTCATTTCCTGAACAACTGTACCAGCGGTCGCCCGAAGCATATCCTTCATATCTCCAGTATTGCAGCCCAGAACGCTAATCTCGCCAACCCGGTTTACTGCGCCACGAAACACGCCATTAGCGGCTTTGTGCGTTCGCTCGCCAATCTCGACAAGAAGTTTGGTATCCGAGTCACAGCCGTGGCTCCCGGTGTTATCAAGACTCCGCTCTGGACTGAACACCCGGAGAAGATGAAGTTGATTGATGGTAGCGATGAGTGGGTGACGCCCGAGGAAGTAGCCGAGGTGATGTTGGCGCTTTTGCAGCAGGACGAGGTCAGCGAGACTATCGGCGACCGGTCGGGTAATGGGCAGCAGTTTAAGGTGGAGGGAGGTACGGTTCTGGAGGTGTCAAAGACTGTGCGCGCAGTCGCTCAATTCAATGACCCTGGTCCTGGCAATCGCCCTGGAAACACGGCGTCGGATCATCACGAGGTCGAGGAGGAGACTTATAAGATCCTGGAGCAGAAAGGATGGGGACTGTGAATGCTATAGTCAGTAGTATCAAATACAACTCCGACAATTTTATAAATACCTCGAAGTGCTTGAAATGGAGTTGATGTTGTAGCAAAGTACCAAGGGCGGGTCATGTGTCGACCCGATAAGCTTTGGAAAGTCAAGGTTGGGCTCTCAAGTGGCCACGGATCTTTCTCTCCTTAAATTCCTCCGCCTTTTCCATTCTCCAGGGCTTTTCTCTTCTTTACTAAACTACTACTAATCTCTCTCTTTTGGTTTTGCCTCGGCCCCGCTGGTAGCGGCCGTTAATTATGTTTTGCACGCCAATCGACCGATAACACCATTTCCGCAACAGATAACCAATATCAAAATGGAGGAGGCCGCGCTCGGGGTTAGTCCATCCGGGGGACATCAAAATATGCTGCGCAGGTAGGCCGGAGCACAATATCTTGATGTTGATGGTGGCTAATTTGGATTCCATCAGACGTGCAGCCCGTGCAAGACCTGGAGATGTCGTGGGGGAGGCCAGTTGGACCAGCAGTGTGATCAACCTGGTTAATACCAGTAAGTGCGAGGAAGCGCACAATACAACAGTGCTCCGAATTCTGATACAATTTCTCCTGTAGTCATCGGTGCCGGTGTGCTTGCGATGCCCCTAGCCATCTCTCGTATGGGAATCGTCCTCGGCGTCTGCGTCATTCTGTGGTCTGCAGTCACCGCAGGATTCGGCCTCTATCTGCAATCACTATGCGCGCAATACCTAGACCGTGGAAGCGCATCATTTTTTGCTCTATCGCAATTAACATACCCCAATGCGGCCGTCGTCTTTGACTGTGCGATTGCGATCAAATGTTTCGGAGTTGGCGTGAGCTATCTCATCATCATTGGAGATCTCATGCCGGGAGTGATACAGGGCTTTGTCGGCAGCGAGCCAGGATACGATTTCCTGGTGGACCGCCACTTTTGGGTTACTTTCTTTATGTGCGTTGCCTCTTGCATTGTGTCTAATTGAGGGGAAGTGCTGACCATTTGACTTTAGGCTGATCGTGATTCCTATTTCCTACCTGCGCCGCTTGGATTCTTTGAAGTATACTAGTATCGCGGCCTTGGTGTCCATGGCCTATTTGGTTGTCTTGGTTGTGTATAAGTTTGTCCAAGGAGACACGATGAAAGATCGGGGCCCGATTCGCGTGGGCCATTGGGAGGGCGCAGTTCCGACTCTTAGCAGTCTGCCAGTTATTGTCTTTGCATTTACTTGCCATCAAAATGTACTTCCCCACGTCGTGACTCGTCGATTCTTTCTAACAAGCATTCCAGATGTTCTCCATCCTCAACGAAATCGGCAATAACAGCCATTTCCGCACAACCGCCGTTGTCATTGCGAGCGCCGGTAGTGCAGCTGCAACCTACATTCTCGTTGCCATCACCGGGTACTTATCCTTTGGCAACAGCGTAGGCGGCAATATCGTCGGCATGTACCCACCGGGCGTGTACGCAACGATCGGCCGCGCCGCAATCGTCATGCTAGTAGTCTTCTCTTACCCACTACAATGCCATCCATGCCGCGCCTCAGTCGATGCCGTCCTAAAATGGCGTCCCCGAGCACAAGTCGCCGGCGCAGAGAGTTCCCCAAACCGACACCCACTGCTAGGCCCGCGCGGAAACCGCACGCCAGAGCCAATGAGCGACCTTCGCTTCTCCATTATCACAACTACCATCTTGATCCTGAGCTACCTAGTCGCCATGACCGTGTCCTCCCTTGAATCCGTGCTGGCATATGTCGGGAGCACTGGCAGCACGAGCATCAGCTTCATTCTTCCGGGCTTGTTTTACTACAAGATCTCATCGCCCGACTCGCCTACCCACCAGGGCTTAATGAAAGAGGACGACGAGGCGGAGGATGATCTCTCAGGAGATGACGAGGGTGACGACGGCGAGGGTTCCCTCGCTCGTCCATTGACAGAGAGTAGCCTTTTGCACCGTGGCACCCGCCACTGGCGCAAGGCGCTGGTTCGCCGACTCAGCCTGGCGTTGGCTCTCTACGGCCTCGTTGTTATGGTTGTGTGTCTGGTTACGAACACCTTCTTCAAAATCTCACATTAATAGGCCGCGTCCTTTATGTATGAAATCTCTTTCCCCTTCTTGTTGGCCGGAGCCTGTCTTTTTATCATCTTTCAACCTGCCGTGTATTATCTCAGGAACTTCTCCCTTGGGCTTTTCTCGCCTGTTCATCCGTCTCATTTCTCTTTGCATATTCTTCTCCGTTTGCGCGTTGCTCTCTATATTCGCTGTTGTGTCTATTCTGTTGGGTATTGCTCTTTGCATATTTAAGTTTTATTTGATTTGGGTTGTCCATGCTAGGCGTTTGGATGATTGTGTGTATTTGACTCAATTTCTTAATTTATACTGTTGGCTGCTCATTATTACGCGGGTATGCAATAGCTAATTGCTTTGGGTAAGGAAAAAAAGAGGGAAGATAGGATTCAAGGCAAACTTACAGCGAACAGAGTTATAAAAATTCAAAATATGAATGAAGAGAAGTGTACAATAAAAAGTGATTAAAAGACTCGATGTAAATCATAAAACCCTCATTCGAAACTAGTTCCGAGAAGCAAGAAAACGCAAGCTTATTTGTCAAGTTTGTTTGCCATCGGACCAGAACCTGCTACAAGTAGGCACGTATCTCTCAATCCTCAGACATTTCAATGCACAATTAGTTGTTGTTGTTAGCACCGTTCAGAATCCGCAGAATGGACATGAACAAGTTAAGCACGTCGAGATAAAGCGAGATCGAAGCAGCGATCTCCTCCTCAACGTGATAGTGCCGCATAACCAACTGCGTATCGACGAGAATATAGCCCGAGAAGACGAGAGCGCCAAGCACACCATAAATGATCTCCATCGTGCTGTTGAACGGGATGAACATAGCCACGAACCCGAACAGGACCATGAACCACAACGCGCCGAACAGGTATGGCATCCAGTCGGTGAAGTCGTACTTAGTCTGGCATGCAAAGAGCGTCAAGGCGACGAAGATTCCTAGTGTTAGTGCGAGCGCTTGCACCACTACTTTCGCATCGTAGAAAGATGTCGCCACGCTGATTGAGTACGCTTCAAGGATGGTGAAGCCTGATAGGAAAAGAAGGTTGGTCGGGTAGGACTTTCGCTTCCAGAATGTTGCGAGCATGAATCCCAGAGCACCGAAGACTGAGATTATCATCAACCAGAAGTTGGACTGGATCCAGGTGCGGTAGGAGTCGTTAAAGAAGGAGATTGAGCTGAGGACCGTTGTAAGGAGGAGTTGGGCCGTTCTGGGTGAAGAGTGTTAGTAAGAATTTCGTAGAGCCCACGCAATGCATTTGTGAAGCGGGTTGCACTTACAGAATCGAGTACACTTTGCGCACGAATTGCATTCGGATGTCAATCGTTCCTTCGGCGACGGTGCCTCCGAACTATGCGATTTTGTCAGTTTCTGCATTTCTAGCCGGGCTCAAGTCCCCCAAATGGCATGATGCATGCATACCTTGAAATCATCCGGCAGATTGTCATCCTCACCGCGAGGCGTTGACTCCGCTGGAGCCGCTGTGGCCTGGTAGGAGGGAGGGGCTCGGGAGTAAGCCGGGTCATCTAAGGAGTCCCGCTGGGGAGCGGGCTCGTATCTGGTGTTTTCAGCCATGGTGGTATAGAGATATGTTTAGTCTCGCGGCGCTGGTGTTGAACGTTGGAATGGATCGCCGACAAAGAGGAAGATGAGCTGAAGCCTGGAGGTGGAGTCCATATGATGTGACGAGTCACGTGTGATAAGCCACATGTGGGGCGCGCTTGCTTATGTTATACATACCCCTTTGCCCGGGTGGCGCCCACATGGGCAGGTGGACCGGGGACAGCAGAGTTGTACTTCTATATACTTTTCACTATATTCTATTTTTTTGCGGGTTAATATCTCGATGATATGAGCACAGGAAAGACTTCGAATCATATAAAGTTCTAACACGCTTTCAATATACATGAGTTTTTATAATGCACTCGTGTCAGATGAAGCAGCAGAAAAGACTGCCATCGACTTCCAGACCCACCGATCTATGAAGAATTCGAGTTATCCGCACAGGACCACGCAGCTGAACCACCGTTCGCCTTGTAGCTGTCCATAATGCTGACAACAGACCCATATGTACCAGCGACCATCATAAAACTGCCGATGACGATAACAAAGACACTCCAGCAAACCATGAACATCCACCTCGGGGATCGGTCGACCTTCCCCTTGCCCCAGTTATCGTACAGCCACATGCAGCCCATGGGTTGGAAACACATGAATGTACCGAGCAAAGCACCGATGAGCGAGACGAGACTGTTAAAGACGGGAATGGCACTTGCGATGACGTAGGAAATAAGACCGAGTGCTGTGGTGCAGCCGATCCACGCGCCCCAGTGCACCATGCTGTTTGAGGTGAGGTGTTTGGAGCCTCTGAGGGCGCGGACGAAGACGAATTTGGCGGGCAACTGTGAGTATTGTGTCAGTTCATAACTGGATTGCATAGATACAGAGACCGAGAGAGAAAGTGCTTACATGAACGAACAGCATCACAGAAACCAGAAGACCTGGAATGGCAAAGCCATAGCTGACCTTCTTCATAGTATCGCCGGCGGAGCCAAGAGCAGGCGAGGCAACATAAGAGCCGCAGTAGTAGTAGACTACAACGCCGATGGTAACGTAGACAGCCGTCACGCAGCTTTGGCAGATGATCAACGAGCGAGTATAATATTTGGGGTCGCGCATCTCCGATACGATAGAGAAGAATGCCGGTGTGCCAGCGTAGGCGAAGATAATCGCGCTCACGGCACTGATGGCTTCACTGAATTTGGGACTGGCAACGATCTTGTAGTCAGATACCCAGATTCCCTCTTGTGGGGCTGAGGCCGGGCGGTCCTGAACGCCGACAGCGATGGTGACGATGAAGACTATAGTACGAATCGGTTAGGGCTATGTTATATCCCGTGACATCTAGGGAAATCTTACTTGCGGCCAA